CTAAACATAATCGGCGGTAGCTGTTCGAGCGCACTAATAGATTTGTGTCCTTCCCCGGTTGAGTTTACAGTAACAGTACCACGGTACCTCAGAGCGATTAGTGGTGAGTGTCGTGAGAATACGGTGGCTGAATTGTTGACTAACAAAGCGCACAGCTTGCGAGTGAGCTAACCGGGTCTGTCCTGTTGTAATGTCTCGCGTGGGCCACATTCTTTTCCTTAGCCGCTGTCACATACGCTTCCACCGCATGCGTCCTCATCCGTCCCATCCCCGCCATCGCCTTTCCAACATCTTGTTATCAACTATTTCTTTTTTTAAATAACGATTACTTTGAATCTCGAATCGCACTTTCGTCGAATAACATGTGTATAAAATCAATTCGAATAATATCGTATAAGCCCAAACATATTTTTAATATTGTAAATTTGAAAAAGTCAGTAACAGTTTATTACAAATTTGTTGTCTTACAAAATCAACATAACTAATGTAAAAAAAGTTTAAATCCATATTCAGACATCTTTGCCGCACGTGGTTTGCTTTACCGTTGCCAATATTTCAGGGACTATTGATAAAGCAATTCACTACGATCGCGACCAACCAGCATTACAAGCAGTTCGTCGGCAAAGAGGAAACTCAGACTTCCATCACGACCACACCAAGCGGCAAGGACGAAATACTGATAGAATACGAGGACGCCAGCGAGCACGTACTCTTCGCCGCAAAGCCGGCACTCGTCGACGACGACACGGACGAAAAGTTCGAGGAGATCTTGAAATCCGCTTACAGCGCAGACCTAGCCCCGTTAACCGTGCAAATTGACGAATGCGCAGACGCCAGACTGAAAGCGCCGGGTGAACGCAGCGTGGAAAGCTCCTACCTCAGCACTAGCAGCGCAGAGGACTCTATCAAGATATACAACGTGCAGACCGGGGAAATAGTGAAGTGTAAGCCGGTAGATAAGATATCGCCGAGATACGGCGAGACCGCTGACTGCGAAAACGCCGAAACGCCTGATAAGGACCTCATCGCTGAGCCGAACGATTTCAGTCCGAATGACGTCGCCGACCAAGCTACTGTTGCTACGGATGTATCGAAGACTCACGGTGACGGCGTGTGCAGAGTCAACGACATCGAGGAGATACTGCCGCAACTGCCGAACGTGAAGGAGCTGGCCAAGAAGTTCGTCAGCATGGAGAATCTTAACGAACCAATTAAGGTCGGTGTATTGTCGATTGACAGCTCGTACAGTCATTGCTCTTATCACGGGTCTTTAATATTTTGTAATATTTACATATCACCTGCGATAAACAAGTCGGACTCGTTTTTATACCTACTGGGCTTTAAACATATTCGTATTTATATCCAAAAGGTATCAATTGCGATTAAATTCGGCCGTTACTCGTATGCTATTTTCTGTTAAAATAAAATCGTGTCATAATTACAGAACAGTAACAAGACACTATAGAAAGAAACAAGTCCCATTTGAATGGTAGACTGCGGTTACTGTTAACTATTAATATTTGTATTTTTTCCACACGCGTGGGACCCCGTTAACTCAGTCAGCAGACCAAATGCAAAAGTATCATACTTCCTCTATACGCTGGTCTCTGTGAGGCCACGGTACTTTCCTAGATGAGCCTGTCTATTCGTGCTATAGCGAAAGGTGATGTGTGGTGTCGGTCCCTACCACAGAGCTAAAAGTATTACGGCACATTTTATAACACTACAAAAATTTTACACATACTTTCAAAATATAATTACTAAGCTGGTGTAATATCTGCACTAAACACACATTATCGGTTTCTGGCATTCGAAGTTCGTCGGCTTAGGGAGAACTCACTGCATTGACGGCGTAGGGCTATCATATCGTATGTCTTGTAAATAAGCGTTAATGTATTCACGAATATTTGAGTATACTACAAATGTCACGTGTAAACGGATGGCACCGCCATATTCGGGCAGTGTTGCTACCATTTATTTTAAAATTGGGGACACATTTCCACAGCCTCCGCAACAGTACGTCAGGCGAAGGAAGAGCAAGGAGCACGTGTTGAGCGCCGACGACAAAGCGGACAAGCCCGCCAACAAGCTTGTCTACATGCACAGCCTCACCGCGAGGAGTATCTCGAGGGAGTTCCGCGAGGAGCTCAAACTGTCCATGGCCACGCCGCTCACAGTTCCAGGGGGTTCCAAGGAGTTTCCCGAAGGCATCGAGGAGGTGACCAAGGAATCCAGCAGGCCCGGCAGCCCGGTCCCCGAACCCGGCACAATAAAGACCAAACTGGCGTTTTTCGAAAGCTTGAAATCCAAATTTAGCAAATAAGCGACTGCTCCATCAATTCATTGTAAACTGTCTGCACAACGTTGCCGCTGATCATGTCCGCGATTGAAAATGTGATATTTATTGATAAATTATAATTTCCCAATCGATATATTACGTTATCTTTTAGTAGCGTCGTATAAAACCGATCATTAATAAATGTATCTAAATATTTGTTTGTATAATACAAGACAAGGGCGTGTTTCACTATAATTGAAGTGGTAAAAAAAATATTAGTATATCACTTTGACTTTACTCTATCATTATCTTGTGTATTCAATGTAATTACATGTCAACTACATTTGGTTTACGACTTGTAAACCAATTAGTAGATAGGTACAGTAACCTGGTCACAAAATATTTTACCAATTTAAACGAAATAAATATTTTGTAAGCGATGCAAATTCTGGATTTGTGTCGCCATATTCACAGTGAAGAGAAAACGGACTAGAAACAGATTATATAAGATTAAATATTTTTCAAATACGTATATAATTTAAAAACGAAGGTATTCGATTTTAATGGGGATTTATAGAAAAGGTTTCATAACTGTAGGTAATACATCATTTTTAAGAGGTAATATTTGTAGAAGTAAGTTTTGTTCTATGGTTTCATCGAAGGGTCATACAATCATCGTATTCGTTTTATTTATGTCATCCATTTTTAGGTTACAATGTAAATATTTAGTGCCATTTGTAATCATTATTCGTGTATTTAGCTAATGCCAAAGTTGTGAGTAATTTCTGTAAGAATCGGTAATTAGGTAGCTGAACTATTCTCCATGGGTTGTGTCGTGTTCATATTATTATCATCAACTAGTATATATTCTTGTTAGTAGTAATTACGTACTTAAGTGCAATAAATGTTTACCATCACACTAATATAATAATAAGAACCTACAAATGTGTGATAGATTTATAAACTTGTAAATTGTATATTATACAAAAATGTTACCTTTTTATTGAAGCTATGCAATAACCTCGAAATGTATCCTGAAATTATGACATTGCGTATTGATACTTAATATAATTATGTTTCGATTAAATTGTCGTTGTTTTATTAAACTGCGAATTCTTATTATCTCACGGATACTTCATTTGACCATACATATATGAAAAGACTTATATAAGGTGCATTCGGCTAATTCCGTAAATAGGGATATTCTGATAATCACAATTTTTATTATGAAATATGGCAATAATTTTACGTTCACCTAGCCGCCATCTTAGGATCCAAAGATGGCGGCTAGGTGAACGTTGCCAGAGCAAAATTATTGCCATATTTCATAATAAAAATTGTGATTACCTTATTTCTTTATTTCATTAATAATTTCGAAACAAGATACCATTTTAAAATGATCATAGTCAAAATCATATTAAAAATATTTCTGATTTGTTTGACATACTTTGATTATATGCTTTTAGAAGTAAGTAATCAAAGGTTTCAATTATGTATAGGTGGTAGATAGTTAGATAATTTTTGAAAAAGGTTATTTAGTTTTCCTATTAGAATGGTCCTATTTAGCCTTTGAGCGAGGAAAATACTTTTGTCGATGCTCCGGAACAATATAACTTAAATTTATTTAAAAAAATCAATGTGAGAGCTCAGATGGCGCATAAGTTTAGCTATAGCTTTCGGTGTTACGGCTTGTGGGTTCCATTCGCACCCTAGCCATTTATACCTTGACCTGCAGATAATTATTTCGTAGCCGGAAGTCCCGTTTTTTAACACATATGGATAGTCAATTATTGGAACGAAGTTCCTTATCGCGCGTTGTGAAAGGGGGCTAGACGGAAAAAATTCTCACGAAAAGTTGTAACGACACTTTTTGCTATAGTAAGCTATTGTAAGCTGTGCGGCGTGCGCATGTTTCTCTGTCTGTCTCTCTCTCTCTCTTATAGAAAGCAAGCCAGATATAATAAATTTAATAAATTATTTAATAATTTGCAAATAATTAAATTTCATATTAATCGAAAGGAACTTCGTTCCATCCGGATGTCCCTTGACACCTCTCAATTTTTAGCTCTAAGCTAGCGCTAAGCTAGACGCTTTAGCCACTAAGCTAAACGGCTGATTGCCACACCGGCGAAAATCTTAAGATTAAACATTAAAACTTGTAGAAAAAGTACGAAAAAGATTGTCGCCACTGTGGGAATCGAACCCACGTCTTCGGCATTCGCGGCCTGACGCTCTAGCCACTAAGCTAAACGGCTGATTGCCACACCGACGAAAATCTTAACGTCTTTTATCGATATTGTTATTTGGCATTTGATGCAATGCTTGGCACAGCGGCGACAATCTTTTCGTACTTAACCAATTTTTAGTCGTGTGGATTTTTTTTGAAGATTAAAACATATTCGACAAAATAAAGGCAGCCACTGCTTCCACAGTCCTTTTAGTTTTGTAAACTCAATGGGCAGTGATGATTACCTAAGATGAGGTGGGCCTCTTGTTTTTAAATAAAAAAGATAAATGTAGTGTGTATAAAAAATTTAAACTATACTGTATTTATTTAATGAATTATTTCAAAAATCATTATTCACGTCGTTTCGAGAAGTGTAACATAGCGCCAGAAAACATTATAGTCCAGTCAACCTTAATACATTCAACAGTCATATAAAATGTAATATAAATGCATGATAACTTTATACAAAATGATTGTAAGATTGTGTCAGTGTCAGTAATAAATACCCAAAGTTTTATGAAAAGGTATACACTCCACTTCTTTTTCATGTTTTCTCCTGTAGCACCAAAGAAAGTAGTCAATCAAACTGGAATTAGGCACTTGGACGTTCAGTCCTTTGTCCTTTATTTTTTTTTCAATACTTTTCTTTAATAATTCCACCGCATGAATGGAGCAGCCACGAATTTCTACTTCTTCTTCTGATCCACTATCAAGAAGTACATCTGTTAAGATTATCGAAGATTTTTAATCCAAATCTTCAGCTATAACTATTATTAATAATAGATCAATCATATCCCTAAACCAAAGATGTTTTATAATAAAAATGACGAATGTCCATACTGCTCGGCGTTTAAAAATTGTTCCGCTTTACATTTTATGACATATACAGGGAGGTTTTTCTAATTGTATACTAATTTTTTTTATATTAAAGTCTAGACATAAACGACGTTATAATATTAAAAAAAGATAAATATTTAAAATCACTCGTAATTAATTAATTACATTCATTTGAACTTATCTTAAAATGCGCGTGATTTATGGGCAACCCATTTATTTTACGCGCGATCATTCATAACTAACACGCACACAAGTTCTTTTCAAAAGTATACGACGCATTTATGAATGACTACGCATTTTGGTTCTTTTTTTTAGGGATTAGAATGTCAATTTTTTTGAAAAAGAAAAAAGTTTGTTTTTATTTCAATAAACGATTATACTACAGAGTCTGAACCTCCTGTGTGAATTTGGGCACCTTATGAAAAGCAACCCTGTATAAGTGAATGTGACAGATAATATAGAACATATGATACGGAAAGATATAGCAGTCTGTATAATTGCAATCTAATTACACCATTGGCTCAGTTTCCTTGCGCTAGTGTCATATCTACCTCGTATTGAATATAATATTATTATCTATAAACCAATTAATTAAATAATCAAATATTATGTATCAGAATATTGGAAGGGATTTATTCATTTAATTGAAACTAAGAAATGTATATTTCATGCAGATGTATAAAATTATATGTCTAGATTTGTGGTTGTGAAACAGTTCTTTAATTTGCTACGTCAATTGAATCAACAATATTTTACTATCCGCATATGATCTACCACCAACTAGAAAAAGCACTGCCGAGAATGTTGTCAACTACAGTCACCATCAGTAAATATTATGTTAAGATAATTTAATAACAACTTTGGATGTTGTCACCTCAAGGTTTTATATAGCACTGAATTACAATTAAGAAAAAGCAAAATAAAAAAACACTTACCATTAGTCAACATATTCATCAACTCATCACTGTACCTCATAACTCCGAAATACACCAGCACTTGCGGTACCCTATAATCTGCGAACATTGTGATCCTTTCAATATCTACAAACTCCCCCCAGCCAGTACCATTGAAGAAATTCCATAAGTCTGCAACTAAGATCTGCGCTCTTTTATAGAATGAGACATGTTTGCCTTTGTAAAAGGCCTCATCCCTAAAGCATGGAAAGTTATTGACCACAATTTCCAGCAAACTAAGTGCAGATTTTTTTGCTTCCTTTACGCATGTTTCAAATGTGCCATTGTACTTGTCTAGAAGTATTCTTCCAACTTCGTGCAATACAGATACTCTCTGGTCCAACAGTGGCATTTCAACCGCATTATCACCTTTCATGATATCACTGAGCTGTTCTTTAGTGACATTGTAATAAAACTCTGGGTTTTCTATATCAACACCATTCTGTTTGGAGTAAAAATTATTAATGAATAATTATTCTCTGAAAAGTGTTTTGACATTCAATTCACATATTTCAATTGTTTACATGTTTAATACATAAATAGTTAAATATGTTATAATTATGTGTAATACTATTCTTAAATTATTGTTATTGTTAGATATAAATGTATATATGTATATATTAACACCTTTATTGCTCTATTTAAGGCAGCTTCTAAAGCAAAATATCCTGAGTATCCATTGACAATCCACCGGTCATCTTTACTCTTTGACCAAAAACAAAAGTTCAGGGCATCTATTACAAAGACCCAGTCCACAGCTCTCGGGTTATCTTTAGATGGATGGATTTCATCAGCTCCTGTATCAGGCATTTGTAGTTGATTTGCTTTAATACTGGACAATATCTATGAGTAAACAGTGTAAATATAAATATTTTTAATAATTTAATTATTTAAAAATATAAATTGATCTATGAAGATATAATCATGATGTATTCAGTTAAGCTTTAGCTTTAGTTTAATATTATTTTTACTTTTTGGAGAATGGGTCAAGTTCAATTATTTATTCTCTGGCAAACTTGTTGTCAACTTATAACATGCTTTAAAATAACTTATAACAATTTGTAGATCATGGGCGACCACAAAATTTATATTTTTATCATAATTATAAAAGGTGAATAAACATATACATTAACATTGTGTATATTATATTGAACCCAGGATAGCTCAGTGTTTGGGGGTTCTCTTTTAATTTAATATCAAGCAACCTGAGTTAAATCATGGTGGCAGCAACAGCAAAATTGTTAATTTTAAATGCTGACTTATGTGTTCAGCGATGAAGGAATAACTCCCGAGGACACCTGCATATTTTCGAATAGCATGTCCGCATGCCTGCATAGTCCTCCAATCTGTCCTGGGTCGCGTGGTGGACTATACCCTAATACTCTCTGTAATTTGAGTTTTAGTCTGAACAGCTAGACACGCTGTTACTTTAGTTTACTTTAAGTAAGTATATATTAACACTATTATAGCTTTACCTCGTTACTTAACGTTTCTCGTCCATCTTCGACAATTTTTACATGTGTCGCATGTTTAGCGATAAATACACCTGATTCCGCCGGTGATAATACGCCTTTCCGAACCATTTCTGATTGAAATGTTTATTTCATATATCATTAATCAGTTTTAATTCAATTAAATTCCATACAAATTAAGTTTTTTACATAGAAAACAAAAATAAATACTTGTTGAGTGTTGTTACTTGTCATATTTATTTCAATATCAAAGACATAAGAGTATTAGCCATAGCCATGATCATATTCCATCCATTCCAATACAAATTACAAATCCAATGAATGCCTATCCAATTACTTACTTACCTTTTAATTTAATACCTGTAACAAAAATTTTATGAAATAGATAGACAATTATACATTCACTTTCAGGAACTTGACTGACAACGTCAGTCTGACATTGACAATTGGCATTGACATTGGCAATATTGGCATTAAAATTTTATTAAATATACATTTTCTAGATTTGCATTAAAATGATGGTGTTTATTTACAGTTAGTTAAAAAGTTAAAACAAGAAAGGATTCAATGTCATAATAATTCACTGAAAGCCATAGATTAATTGAGATTTGTCAGCATAAAATTAGTTTAATATTTCTCTTTTTCGCTATTTAATTACTTTAAACTTTTCTAAAAGAAGAATAATACTCACTCGATATCACATTGAATTAAATTACTAATCAACGTTCGTTTGAAATGATTTTTCTATTTGTCACAATTTACTCAGGACGAGAATCGGCAATGAAAAAAATCTGAACGGCGAATAATTATTAAAGAATTATGGCCACCCTATTGGTTTATGGTTAGTTATTAAGTATATATATATAAACAGACGAGCAACGTCAAAAAAATTCCAGTTATTTTTAGTTAATTTTGCTGTAAAAGTATCCTATGCACGTAGAAAGTAATTTGAAAGGCATTTTTATTTGTGATAATTTTAATTGCGCAATTTTTGTAAGATTAACGACAACAACGTTTTTATAGTAGAAGAAAAAATAAATAAGATCATTTAAATTACGCGTTATATATAATTAAAGCGATTTTGGGTGTTGGGGATACAGAGACAACTTTGGCTACATTGCGGAAAAATGGTGATATCAGGGCTCAGGCGGATCAGGCCCTAAATTGTCAACGTAGTGATTACATTCTCTTTGCTAAATTGTTAGCAACACTGTGTTAACCAGTTGCCAACTGCCACTAGCTATCCAAAAATCCAAATCAAAGAGTACTTTTGTAATTTGTATATGTGATCCAAATCTATCAAAGAGAAGAGTATATAACCACAACGTTTTATGAATAATATAAAATTTTGTGAATCCATCTTAAATGATTGTGATTAATTAAGAAGAAGTTAATTCAAATGAAGTAAAGCAAAGCATAGCCAATAGCAAACATTATTTAATATTTATTATTATTAACATTTCAGCTAAGTATATAAAAGTACTCTGTGAAAAGTAGAACTTTCAAGAAAGAATAAATTTCGGTTTCATTTCGTTGTATTCTATTGAATTCTGTATTTATGTAGCTAACAATTTTTATACAAATCTATCTCATAATACATCTAGATATAATTAAGGATTTTAGCTAATTTTAATTAAGTAAATTAGATAAAAACATGCCGCTAGATGTTCAAGGTACGTTTGTGTCTCAAAAAATTAACAAAATACGATGGATTCCCGAAGATTATGTCGAGACGAAATGTTTTTTTACTGGAAGTTGGGATGATGATGAAAATTCAATAAAAGTGTGGATTTTGGAAAGTTTAAATGAAGATGAGGATGTTGAATATCCTAAACAAATTTCTGAATATAAAGTTGATGGTGATGTCACAGAAATCAAGTTTACAAATAAAACTTCAATAGCAGTTTCTACGTCTGACGGAAACGTTCGACTGCTTGAAATAAGCGCATATAATAGGCAGACCCCACTTAGGGAAATATTTTCGTGGGAAAAATTACACAGTTTCGGGTAAGGACAAAAGTACGTCTTTTATGTGAATATACTTATCTTATGCTTGTAGATTTTACTGGCGATATATAATATTCTGTTCCTACTAAAGTTATTGAATGACAAACTATCTGTGGCCACTAATCTGTTTCAAAAGATTGAAGGTACCTTGCTTTTCCCGAAAAATTAGATGAACTATCTTACAACACATCAACAGGTGTTATGCTTTGCTTGGCACTAAATGTGATATAACATTTGCCAAATAAACCATGATAAAAAGTGTATTCAATCAAGTTGGTGTTATGTTCCACATCTTTATCATAATTTGAAAATAAAATCTAGCCCCTTGGTGCTCTTGTAATTCAAGTTCTTTAGAAACCTTTTTGAAATTCCATTCTGTTCAACTATTTTTACAGAGAGGAACTGTGCTCATGTACCACATTAGACACTTTGGAAGGTGACATAGCTACAGTTGGAGAAGACGGAAATATAAACATTCTGAGCAGTAGAAGAGGGGAGGTCACTAGGTCTATTAAAGGAGCAGACAGCTGTTCCTTACATTCCATTTGCTTCTTAAAGCACAATGAAGTAAGTCAAATTTATCACTAAATATTGAAGGTGTATTCTAAATGCTAAAATTTTAATGAAACTATAGTACAGATACTGATTATTATTTTCTTTATAAATTTAGGGACAGACTGTCCCATGACCATGAATCCTAGAAAGGGTTCAAAACATTGTGAATTTAAAAATCAAATCAATTTTAATTTATAACTCCAGCAGCATAAGCTATGTGCATTTACATACAATAATTTTTGTCTTAACAGTTCAGAGATAGTGGTAACAGAGAACTATTTTTCATTTACGCATTTAATAAAGTTAATTAGTTTAATTTGGCCGCAATCTGTAGATTTCTTTATTTAATGTAATCTGGTTTAAATTAATGTACCCAGGAGAAGCAAAATTTAAAGAATTATGTTACTTAGCAAACAAACCTTACAGTATTAGTTGTTTGGCAAACCTATTTTTAAATTTATAAAATGGTAAATGGAATAAAAACTATTATTAAACTATTAGAACATAAACTTCTATTGCCTCTACAAACATTCTAATAAGTGGGGCATGACATCTTACCCTAGTATGGCAAAAAGGGACATTAAACTGTTTTTTGACATGTAATCTAGGAACTTTGGCTGGAACTGAAAGACCTTTGTCTAGAATGTAACATCAACGAAACTTGAGAGAACAAAACCCTTAAAATAGTGGACCCCAGTACTTACCTCACTCCAGGCGAAAGTATAATAATTTTACTGCTTGCTGTGGTACTTCCCCAGATTCCCAGATTTGTGGTCTTACAAATAAAAATGTTTATCTAATACGGTGCAACAGCTTGATGATCGCTTAACTTAGTGACTAGCCATTAAATAAAAATTGAATTATTTTGTGTACCTTAACATATCAAGTAAAAAGTAAACTTTTGTACCATTTATTTTATATTTCAAAACAGCAAACAGTTGTATATCTATTAAAATTATTGATTAATGCTAAAAATAAATAAAAACTGTTTACAATAATATTTACCTTATTTTCTCCACTAAAACATGACCTTATATGAACCTCAGACACTAAATCAACTCAAAACCTATTTAATTACAGGTTATTACTGGTAACTTACGAGGACATATGAAGATATGGGATCTGCGTTCATCAGATAACAAACCAGCTGCGTCGTTTTTACTAGCAGGTGACGAATTAGCTGCCACATGTATTATCAATCATCCCACACAGCCACATTTCATCCTGGCTGGCAGTGAGTCTGGTTCTCTAGCCGTCTGGGATATACGCATGAACTCTTTCCCCTCCTCTCTACTGAAAGCGCATGCAGCAGGAGTTACAGAAATGCAATTCCATCCAGAAAACCCGAACAAACTACTAACAAGCTCATTATCTGGAGAACTTTGGGACTGGAATATGGAAGCAATGACAAAATGCAGCAAAACATCTGAAAATTGGATGCCTCTCGAAGACAAAAATGCCATGTCTGTCAATGCGCTCATGCCACCATTGCATAAAGCAATAAATACAATTCATTGTGACAAAGGGAGGATTCTTTGTGGTGCAGACAATGAAGCTTTATATTTAATTAAGAATTTTAAATATTAATTTAGTATTTTAATAAATTTATAAGGAATTGTGCCTTTTGTATTACAACATCAAATATTCCTTATATTCATTCAATTCTTTCCTGGCTAATACTAAATTTGTATCATCAGTTAAATAGAAGTAATGAACAAATTTGTTCACCTTACTAATAATTAAATAAAAATCAACTTACCTTTGAATTGGGAAATTCGTTTTAAAATTTATAAAATCATTTACCACTAATTTTATAGACTTTTTAAATTTTCCACATAAAAAAGTACCATCTCTTAGTATTTTTTTATGTAAAAGTTAGTGAGAAGAGCAGGCTCCTTCACTAATGTTATTAAGTGTTTTCCACCACACGGACAACTCCTTTGGGGTGGCAAATGCATTTCCAACTATCCTGGACTAGACTGCCCAATTCTGCAATAGCCAGCAGCAGTATGTGTTGCACAATTACAATAAAACAACAGATAAAATAATACATGTACATTTTATTTAAAAATGGAAGTAAATGTGCTTATAATATCAATATACACAACTTAACAGTACATCATGTCTGTCTTTGCTTGCCTAGTCACATTGGTCAGATATTTTACAAAGTCCGCACTAAAACAATGTATTTACATTAAAAAAAAAACTTCGCATTTAAAATTTGTGTAAAATATCGTACTGAAAAGGCATCAATTAACAACCAAAATTGTTAGGTTACTCCAATGTTAACCAATTAAATTTGATGGCACCAAATTGTAAACGATGCAAGCAAATTTTTACCCGGAAGCTAGCTAGACCAGACTCAATGAGAACTGGAAACATCAATATAATATCACTTATTGACAGTAGAAATAAAATGAATATTTGGCATCTCATTCACTTTTTATATACCACACTAAATGCGTTAACTAACAATTAACACGGAGTATATATCTTCTAACATTAAATACAATCATTAACTATCACTCAATTTAGTATCAATATGCACAGCACTACTGGACTAAACAATTAGTCCTGTAAAAGTGAGCAATTAAAAACTGATAAAGAATAATGGATTATAAGAAACATTTACAATAGCAATAGCTGGTAACACCTGTAGAAATAAAGAAAACTATTAGGGGTTTATTTTCCACTATGGAATAATGTACCCTCTTATCAAGGTGAAATCCAAATAAATAATTTTTTTAATTCATAAGTCGCAAAAATTATAATCATTTATCATTTAGATTAAGACTTACATCAGCCTCTAGTTTACATCTTTATTTTAATAGTTTTCAATAAGAAATTTCTTTTCCCTTTAATATCAATACTGACCACTCAAAATAAAATGTTTCTCTTATATAGCATTCATTTATAAACTCAATAATTACTTAGTTAATATAAATTGTAAAGGAGAACCATAACCTGTGACATTTTATCCTGTCACTGCTGTTTTGCCAAATTTAATTGACGTAATTTCCATCTATAAAAATAGTGACTTAGCCATTTTACTTAGTAATTAGATATTTATATTCAAGAAAGAGTAATTAAAACCGCAGGTCATTCAAATAATTGAATTTCACTAACAATTCCTTTTAAAATCTACCATTGCACCTGAATTTACTGGATGCACTAGAACATGGTGCAATACATCGTAATCGAATACACACTTGCTATATAATAGATATATTTAAATAAGCACAAGGTGACAGCGGATCGAATCTACCGCCTCATTGACAATCACTCGACAGAACCACATTATAACATTTTGTCTGCTAGCCACTAGCCACAAGGGACCGTGTGAAATCCTCGTCCCAATAAAAGTCCAAACGCAAGATGAGAACGGGACGTAGACAGAGCCCTTTGGGATGGCTGTCTCTTTGTTCCCGCAAAAAGTTCAACAAAGTTCCCACTTGCACTGAGATGGAAATGACCGAACATTTGATGCTGGCCGATTCTCGGGTCCCGAGGGAGCGATGGTGGAAGGTCACCAGGGCTTGAGCGGCAGGTGCCCTTTGGGAGGTTCCCGCCCTGCGATAACGAGCCACCAGGCATCAGGTGTGCTGGTGCCTGGAGCGCGGCTTGCGTTGGGCGGCGGCCAGCAAGGAGGCCGGCACCAGCCACAGCCGCTCGTGCCACCGCATCAGCGCCTCCGTCACGTGGCAGCTGTTCGCCGCCGTGGCCAGCTGCGTTTCCAGGCTGTCCGTCGGCTTTATCAGCAGGCTGGAACATTTGTGTGGAATCAGCATTTGTGTGGTAGAAATCTGATGAAAAATACTATGTTAAGTTTGAGCTTGATTATTATCTAATCTGTTCTACAAGGTGATTTATAGACGACGGACATATTAACAGAGCATATGCAGAATTTGATTCTAAATCTGAATCTGGTACGTACTTGTAATTTTTTCAAACATTATGATGGACACACTATTAGAAATTCCTGCCTTACCGTCTCAATACCTATTCACGAGCACTAAAATTGTTTGCTGAACGCATAATTACTAATCCGCTTATCACTAGGGTCACTAACGGGATAAACAAGCAATGTTTGAATTGATATTTTTCTGGTTATTTATTGTCAAAATAAAATATTAATATTCTCTTTTCTTCTTGAATTACAGCCTGGTGACAGACGGACAGACAGTGGAGTCTTAGCAATAGGGAACCCTAAAAAAGAAAAAGAAGCGGCCACCCACCTGGGCGGGAAGAGCGCGGGCGCGATGATCATGGCGACGTTGTGCTCGCCCATCTTGTTGGTGTCGCTACGCGCGACCACCTCCCCCACGAGGCGCAGCACGGCGCGCAGCGTGGCGCGCTGCTCGCCCGGCAGCAGCAGCACCAGCAGGTTCAGCGCGCGCGCCTGCGCGCTGCCCGACAGCGCTGCGCACGAGAGAGCCGCTCTTACTCACACGGAGAGAGAGAGAGAGAGTGCGTCGCTTCTCTTCCCTCTCGTACCCCGCCGCACCGTGGAAATGCGGGGCAGACAAGAGAGCCGCTCCTACTCACGTATGACACGAAGAGAGAGGGAGAGGGAAAGAGTACACCACTTCTCTTGCCTCTCTGGCCGCACTCTCATGCCAAGCCGAGGACCGTGGAAATGTTTAGCGGTTCGGATGGCAGCCGCTAACAGTCATTAACTGTCATACGTCGAATGTTTAAGGTATCAGGTTACTTTCTGGCAACAATAGGGCGGTACTCACCGTAGGTGTGGTAGAAGAGGCGCATGAGCTCCTGCGTGAGCGGCGGCTGGGGCAGGGCCCTCAGCAGCCGCTTGTAGAGCGCGGCCAGGTCGTGGCCGGCGGCGCGCCGCAGCGCGGCCTCCACCTCGCCCCGGGACCGGTACCACTCCCTCTCCACCAGCTGGCACAGGGCCTCCACCTGTGGAGACGCCGGCTTTCATTTCTCCCGCCGCGTTGCACTTGTAGTACCGCGATCTCGCAGAAGACCGGCATGAAGTGGAAGTGTTACACTTCTGCATCTCGTCTGGTGTGTAAAATAACCGGCACTCACTTAAGCACTTAAAAACCGGCACCTCTACGGGAGTTGCAAATGTCCATGGGCGGCGGTTATGTCTTGACGTAAGGTGAACCGCCAGCTCGCTTGCCACTTTATGCGTGTTTGTGTATGTCCATATGTAATGAACTAGAAACTAGCAATACTTAGCGCAATGCAACATTACTGACCGAGCTATACATAGAAAAAAAAATAGAATGCCTAGAAAAGTACGTCCGTCGCCATTATCATCAAGAATCTTATTACAATCTAGCGACAATAGACACCAGTGCGATTAGTCTACATTCATACGGCTTTTGGGCAAAGAAAAAAAAAAAACAAAAAAAAAAACAAAATGATACATCGTGTAGCAAACAAACAAACGATTTGGTGGGACCCACCTTGTGCTTGTTGCCTGGCACCCTGAGCAGGCCCTCGTCGGCGCAGCGCGCCTGCAGCGCGGAGGAGACGGCGCGCAGCACGCTGGGCACCGAGCTCCACGTCTCCTCCCACAGGATCATGTCCTTGCGGAGCAGCGTCTCCAGCGAGACGCCGAACACGGAGCCCTCTGCAATGATGGAGGCCGTCGGGGGAAGGTGCTTTTAGAGTACAATTCTGCACCACAGAGCCCTCTGCAGCGATGGAGGCCGTCAGGTGAGGTGCTTTTAAAGTACAACCATACACCACAGAGCCTTCTGCAATGACATAGGCCGTTGGGTGCGGTGCTTTTAAAGTGCAAACCCACAACCACGTACTCATATTACAAACAATAATTTTTATTTCTTCTTTTGTAAACTACACTGCCCTTATTAAAGATAACGGTGTCCTGTGGTGTAAGGTAGCTGTACAAGTTTACATTCACAAGTTTCACGTGGACGAACACGAAACGATTATCTGTGGGCCACACAAATTGTTGGCCCGTGTGGGAATCGAACCCAATAACCCCGCCACCGAAGCCGGAGTCATCAAACAACAATGCATATGTACACAAATTGGCTGCGGAAACCCAAAAGATTAAAATACGAAATACTTGCGCCCCCGTCAGTTAGCTGCCTAACAAAGTCACGATAGCAAAAGAGTGTAATAATCATATAAGTTGTATGAAATGAATAGAAGCCCCACCTTCTTTCCTCTTCTTCTTTGGCGGCTTCCTCTTGTGGAAGGGCAGCGAGTAGCGGTCGAAGAGTGCGGTCAGCTCGAGCCAGAGAAGCGGTTGCAGCTTCTTCAGCATCGGCTCGCCCACGGTTTCAATGTCGACTGTGCTGTCCTCTTCAGGCCATTCCTGAACACATGCGTTTGGGTCAACAACAGTTTGTTGTACAAAGAGAGAGCCATCATTTATAAAGACGGATTACACTCGTTGAAACCGTATGCTTTTTTTTATTTGAGAAGGTGGCAAGCGAACTGGCGGTTCACCTGATGTTAAGCAATATCCGCCGCCCATGGACATTTGCAACACCCGTAGGGTTGCAGACGCGTTGCCACCTTTTAATAAAGCGGGATTGAAAGTGTTCTCTTCCTTATTTTAGTATTATATATAATATAGACGTGGAGTCAAAACTTATGATAAAGTGCGGATCACATTTAGTTAGAGAAACGCAAGAGAGATAGAGATGTCACCATCACCGTAAGAGTGAGCGAGACACACGTATGGCGTCGGTTACCTCGTCGTGGTGCAGCACCTGCCGGTCAAGGTTGAACTTGTGCTCGAAGCTGAGCGGCTGTTGCGAAGATACGGCGCTCTTGGCTCTCGATACTGGCGCATGTTTGTTGCTACAAGACAGACATAAAAAAGTAAAGTAACAGCCTATACATGTCCCAGTGCTGGGCAAAGGCCTCCTCTATATAGAGGATATCGGGGCATAGGCCACCAGGCGGCTCCACTGCGGATTGGTGGACTTCACATACCTTCGAAATAGATTTTCTTATTATTATTTCGAAAAGATGCAGGTTCCCTCACGATGTTTTCCTTCGCCGCTGAGCACGTGGTAATTCAGCACTTAACAATTTCATTGGTGATCGAACTCAGGTTGCTCGAGTATATTGAATTAAAGGCGAGCGCCCGTACACTGAGCTATCACGTGCGTCAGTCTATTATATATTTATTTCTATACGTACCAATTTACCCGTGGCTTATTATCTGTTATTCATTTACGGCCTGTTTCAATATTCCATATATGAGTAGATTTGGTTAGTAGCGATACGTATTTTGACGTTAGCCCCACGTCAAAATTCTATCTCCAGTAATCAAACCGGTTTAAATATTCTATGTACCCGTGATAGAATATTTAAACCGGTAGTAAGCAACATATTATAAACCTTCGTTTCGTTTTGGGAACGAAACGTCTTTAATTCGAACGCTAAACGGAGATGACCACACCGACGAAAATCGCCATTCCTCTACATTGCTTTTCTTAGCATTTTTTTGGCGCCAAATTTACAAACAATTTCGAATTGTTTTTATAATTGAACGAGAATCTTTTTTAGAAATTTAAAGATTGCTAATCTTTGCACTTAAGATATGTACATTAAAGTATGTACTATAAACAATTTAAACCTTCGTATATGCAATTGACGACCAGCAATTAGATGCAGATCGTAAAATTATATAGCATATAATTTAAAGACGGGTAGGTCCGTCCGGGTAAGTACCACGACCTCACAGAAGATCTATAAGTGTAAGTGTTATATTTCCGCGTTTCGTCTGGTGAGTGAGGTAGCCGGAGCCCATTTTATCAAAAGGTGGCAACGCATCTGCAACCCTACGGGTATTGCTAATGTCAATGGGCTTATCATTTAAAATCAGGTGAACTGTCAGCTCGTTTGCCACCTTCTGACATTAAAAGAAAGGAACAAAAGTTGCATCTTTGATGGTATCATCGGCAGCAGAAGAAGTGGAAATGAATTGTAGCAACTCACACGAAGGGATCGCTATCCTTGAGGATGGATCCGTTGATGCGCTCCTTGCCAATCCTCGGCCCCTGGACTGTGCCGTACCTCTGGTAACCCAGAAGTTCTATTCCCTCTGAAACACGTAAAGCACAATCAGTGGTTAAGAAATAAATAGGGAGGACTTTCAAGCCCGTTTCTTTACGTTCAAACTTTGAACAATAAATATTAGGTCGGGCGAAAAGTTTCTTCGTATTTTATAAACAAATTCAAGACATTTTTATATTTGTATGTTCTATTTTGATGATAAGTTGTTGCTATCTTGTAGGTAGTGACATAATCGCCTTGCTGTAAAAATGTTGGGACTTCTTTTCAAAAAAATGCGACGACAAGTAGTTTTAGACAGTGCTCTTCTCATGCTAAACATCATAAGGGCGCGTTTATATGACACGGAATGTCGTCACTGCGGCGGTCGCGCGGTTACCGCCTGGCTGAATTGTCAACATCTTGTTAAACGGGTGTATTATTAGTGATGTAGCTTTCTGCGATTATCTGTCTAATGACGTAACGTGGAGATGTCTATGGCGTTCAATCTGCGATGTCCGATGACAACACCGTTAGTCGCTGACGTCACCTCCGTTCGAGCCAACCCGCGTTCTGCGGGCCCTTTTTAAAGAACACTTTCAATTGGCCGCAAGGAATATCTTAACAATGGCACACAGCTACGTTACAAAAATTATGTTCGTCGGACCGTGCGTGGAGGTCGACTACCTTCGCCTGGGCTGACCTGTGCAGAAGCTCCATTGTGATCTGTAGGTAACAGTTGGCACCCACCTGTGTTGGAGGCGATGTCGGCCCAGTGCAGGTCGTTGGGCTTGAAGAGGTCGTGCCCCCGGGGCGGGGAGTGGGCGGGCGGGGAGAGGCGCGCGCGGCGGGGCGCGGGCGCGGAGGGGGTGCGCGACAGCGGGCCGTGCGCCGCGGTCGGGAAGCCGTCGCCGTTGGCGAAAGTCGACCTACGGGCGTGTGCATAGGGTTGAATGTGGCGTGGCAACCGCAGGACAGGTCTACCGCAGATATCGTTAGTAAAGTCCGTACAGATCTAATTCAGTGCTATTGTGTTAAAACACTTTGTACAAGATCATTGGTCTACTAGTCAAGTACAAGAAGCAAGGTTTCTTTTAAGGTCCGTTTAACTTTTTAAAGAAAGACTCGAACATTTCTCATAAATACGTTGAACAATTGAAACATACTAGCAGTTCCGTCCGCTTTAGGCGATATTCCCATATTCTATTAGGCGTTGTGGAGCCACTTACACAAAGTCGGGCGGTGTGGCCGCGTCGGCCCACTCCGTCGCTGGGCTGCCGGATCCACCGCTGGGCAGCGAGTCCAGAGAGTCGGGGGTCGCACTGCGCGACCTAGGCTCGCTGCCGCTCGAGTTCTAAACAAGAGAGTATACAGGATAACAGAAATTCAGTAACATTCAGAACATTGGAGACAGTTCTAAGCAAGATAGAGTAAGGGGAACGTTGCAAACGGTTCTATCAATTGTACAAAATCTTACTTTAAAATTAAAAAAAAAAAATACTTCATGAACACTAATTAACAGACCACGCATAGCGCGAAATGAAATGTTTAGAAGGTGATGATTTAGTAGGGGTTGGACAGTAAGTCCCGTCGACCACTACGACTTGAAGATTTATTGCACTCTAGAGGTCACTAACAACTACTTATAATAATAACTATAGAAAACTAAGAAAGGATATATTTTAAAGGGTACTATTAATATGTTTATATAAAATGTTTCTTTATTTGTTCGATGTGCATCTATATCTTTCTACAATTGTGATGTGAAACATTGGCGACTTGTGCGCCTGCTTGCCAACGTTGCGATTTGGTAAAAAACATTCAATATTCTATGTTTCACTAAAGAACATGAGCCATTTCCGTTACAACATATATTCAAGCCATTACAACAAAAAGTGTAAAATACAAATAAAATACTATACTATACTATACTATACTACAGTACCTAACGTAAACCATTTCGTTTATAATTTTACCGTAATGTTTAAAACACTTACTCCATAAGTAATGAGCTTTCTGAAGGAAACGTGTTTTTTACTTCTTCAAACCTCAATTTCATAAAAAAATATATGAAACCTTTGTAGTTATGAACGGATGCAGGAAAACGTTTAAAATATAAAATAAAACAACTAGGATATAGGAAGGGATATGCTTACGGAATGTTTAATTAAATATATCCTAATTAACATTGAAGAGTTAAGTGTTTTGAGTGAATGAGTTAACAAATTGCTTCATCGAAACTGTTGTAATTAAATTATAATTAGTGCATAAAACCGGATCTTACGAAGGTTATTCATCATTACATACTGACATGCACCTATGTTTAATTTCTACATAGGTATATGCATATTTTTGAAGCTGACATCTCGTTCCCCCAACAGGGTGAGTCTTGTAAATATTCTTGTATCTTGTATTAACTGATGTTTTTGCTTTCAGTCCCGAGACTATTAAAGACTTCATCTGACGCAGAACCGGTGGGCTAGCCAGAACCCACGGGTTTGGGCCCTCCGCTGTGGGTAGGGCCGCGCATGTGCTCATGCGTGCGTTTAAGTATGGTGTGTCATCTAAGGGCCATCGAGGTCGCGGTTCGGACCGAAATTCCGACGGCCGTCGACTGTGCAATTAGCTAATCGGTGGCTGGGAGCAATGAGAACCGCCCCGGAACGCGGGTCTACCTTGTGTACGCGTTGTGTTGGTCTCGCCGTGCTCGGAGGCGAGGGCGAACTAGTGTGTTTGTTGTTACACTAACTTTGGGTGTAGTGTTATCCGGCGGGACCCCCGGCGGTGGGTCCGGCGTATCTAAGTCCCCTTCCTCATTGTAAATATTGTAGGTTTCTCTAATCTTACGAATTAATTATAAATACTGATAATTAATTCGTAATGTACTACTAATAATTATTTCGTAAGATACTTATTGGTACCTATATACTTCGGCGAGGCTTTTTTATCGTTTCCATTGGAGCTTTGTTATAAAAAATTATATAACATATACTCTCCTGTTCAATAGCTATGCTATGAACAATTATCAAGTCAAACCATCTGTTAGTTTTGAGTTCCTTGGGCACAAACAAGAAAGTAATGCCCGTTTTCACCATCGATCCCTAACTTTAAGGGACACTCCCAAAAAAGGCGCCTAAGACTTTAGGCGACACTTAAACGGTGGTGAAAACGAGACTAGCACTTAATTTTTTGTAGGTGTCCCTTAATTAATTACTTTTTTTTTTAATTAGGGATCCATTTTGGAAACGGGCATAAAACTTTTATGTGCTTTTATACTAACATGTATATTATTATGTATTATGATTTTGCTTTCGCTCTTGACAGATTCATCAGAAACAAAGCACGAAACATTTCAATTTCCACGGACTAAGTAGAGTCACAAAAAATATACATCCGTAATTTTTTTCTCTCGCATCTCAAGTAGCATAGCTTTATTTAGGATCTATTATGTCGTAAAATCGGATAAAGTTTTGTGTAGTAGCGGGCAGCGGGTGATATTTTGTTATACCTTCATAATTCCATCTAAAACGTGATTGTTTTTAAATCCACTTGGATTGAATTATTTAACAGAGAGGTCAGCGCTCCGAAGCTTCATATAAAAAGGAAAATTGCAGACTTATATATAATGGATTAAATATTGAGATATTTCATGGTAAGACAAATAAGATTTAAGATTTCCATGTCACAATTTACTAAAATAAAGTATGACATAGTTGGATTACGAACACTTCGTATTCACTATTCTGATATTTTATGATACAATGGTAGTCAACGTAATGATGATACACTTAACGGATGTATCGAGGGCGAACTGAAGTCAAATTTATAATAATTATATAAATATATTTTAATGCCATTTTTTTTTTCAAATATCACCTACAAATATTAAAATTTTAATGACGAATGGCCGGTTTTACTCAGGGTTTATGTAAATTTTTGTTTGTGAGTTCATTTCCAGAGATAACCCAGTACAAACAGATTTTATCTGTTTTGTTCGATCTATCTTAGATTGCTACGTTTAACTTAAGTAATAAGTTGTAATCAGTACATTAACAGTAATAAGTTATTTCTAATTGACCTTAAGACGCGGTAGTAGGAACGAACAAATGCGGTAGCAAAAGTGATAATTATGTATGTATTTCATTTGCATTAGTTAACTAAGAAACTTAATGGTTTTTACACAAACACTTCTTACTGTATATTATACATACACGTTTTCAATCATCGCCGTATTATCTTATATTTCCATATTTTCGCGTTATGTTTAAACCAATATTTTTTCCTCATTTGCATAGAGACTCAATACATTTATATACTTTTTGTACCGTTCCTTCTCCTTGCTCATAATATGGAGTACATGTGCGCATGCGTTTGACAGAAATGGCCATATTTGTGGCGCAAGCCTTTTAATGGCCCTCGTTCACGAAACAAACTGCTGCGATTGTTCCGCTCTAATGGAAAGAGAAACTTCGCATAATTATGTGGTGACATTTAGAAGAAAGCCCAAACCTTAACTTAAGTTCGTCTTTATTCGAGATTGTTGCGCGAACACAATAGGCTCTTACAGCTCACGTGAAATCATTATGCATACAATCTCGCATCTGTAGCCACGCGACATCTAACGGCTAGATCTTTGGGAGAAGAATATATAAGGTTGCAGGTTCTTGGCTAGAGTAAGTTCTTGAGTAATTCTTCTTTCTTCTGTCTTTATCTAATCTATATGGTGTCGGCTAAACATGTAAATTACATTGTTAATGGTATTAGTTAGGTTTCTCACGACCAGCCGCCTGCCTGACGTCTACCCTCCTTGGGAATAAACATCTATATCTGGAATAACTATCTGTGGGTCGCACAAATACTCGCCGCGTATAGGAATCGAACCCACGGCCAAACGAAGCCAATAGCAACTCCGCCATTGAGTCATAAATAATCACGTCAGACGAATTGTACGCTAAAAACTTATACGTTTAGTTTTTTGTGATTCATCAAGGGCACTCAGTTTGCAATAAGAAAATTCCTATCTACATAGGCCTAATAATCTTAATTCTTATCTTTGCAATAGTAAAAACGGAGCCATTTTGTGTTTGTGGTGGAAATATAATTAGTATCAATTCATTTTTATTAAAGATTGATTGAAAGCGGTGAAAGCATTCAGTAATGGGTAAAAAACGGAGTTTTACGGGGCGACGAGGACCTCATTATTTCGATATCGAATATGAGGTATGATCGAAATAATAATGTAACTGTATGAAACGTTTACATAAAATTAACTGAGACAAACAAAATTAAAATAAACATTAAATTCTTTACTCTTGTCGGAATGTGATCGTATGTAATGATCTTATGATCTTATGTAACATCGTAATTTTACCTTGCATTATTCAAGATCAAGGCAGCTGGCACTGTGCCAGCAGTACTTGCCAAATAAACCGATTTTAAAAATTCTTTCTGCATTGTGTTCGGTTTAACTCAAACGTGGTCCCATTTTAATTTTATTGATATAGGTCCTTGGACTCCGAAGACACATCAGGGAACTCCCCATAATTAAAACTGAAAATGTAATAAGCGAGATATTTCAAGTCGGTTCCGTTTTGAGTTTCTAGAATCTTTTTGCTTGTCACAATGAACGCATTAAATAAAGGTACACGAAAGGCCAATGACTCAACCTCTTCCGATCCGAGCCCTACAAGGCGTTTCGAGAGTAGGTCGGTAGACCTGTCCGCGTGTTTTATCGGCGCCTATGGGCATAGGGGCGGTCGGAAGCGCGTTTAAATACGTGTCAATGGCGGGCTAGTTTTTATCCGCGTCGGGTTTTCTAAACGCCTAAAGGCCTCCTTCCACCACACCATCCCGCACTATGAACGTACCAACTTCTGTATTAACAAAGTGAAAGAGGTCTTATAAATGAAACTAATTTTACGGATTTATCGCGTTTATTTTTAATTTTAATTCCCGACGTTTCGAACCCTTTACAGCGTTCATGGTCACGGACTGGCCATGAACTGGCCACTGGTCAGTCGGACAGAACGGTCCAGTGGTTGCCCATATTAATACCACAAAGTATTTCTTTACATGTGTATGCATGAATTGTGGCAGTGGATGGAGACCTTTATAAGCGTTCAAGTTGAGTACCGGAAGTGGTCCGCTCTGCCTGCACAGAGAAAACTAGTCGCGCGTTATAATAGAAAATCGACGTTTCTTTTCTGTTTCTCTACGAACTCGGTGAGACTCGGAGCTTTGGCTATTTTTAATCTGCTCCTTAAGTTTTGAAAGGTGACTACGCGTATTCTTTTCTCGAGCTGATTTCCTATTTTTACCTAACTATAAAGGAACACGTAAAGCCGTGATCATTTC